TGCTACGGAAACCTGTTTTCCATAGCTATTTATTTTCTGTTAATTCTAGGTTATTAATACGAAATGTCAGGTCGATGAGAATCAGCATTCCCAACTTCTTTCCCTATCACTACGAAGCCCCTGGAGCAGCTCAACAGATCCACCAGGGTTTGAGTGAAGCATTGAGTAACAGATTAATATTAGGACGGCTCACAGTAGATTTTGGGAAAAGCAAAACCGACAACGCTGACCTAGCAGACATCCAGTCGACCCATACCTCACGATTTTTTTGTTTTCCTATTTAAATTTCATACATATTTACAACACTACAAGAAAATATAGACGTTCACAATGAACTAGTCAATATGTTCTTTACTGATCCTTACAACCTCCTGCCACCGATCAGCCAGCTCAGTCAGTCACTGAGTAGGCATTGAAAAGCTGGCTGGGTGGGAGTAGGTTGTAAGAAACAGTGGAGAATATATAGATTGGAAAGAAAGTCCTGTCAGTGTTTTTTAAAAGCTCACAGTTTTTAGTTTTTGATGCTCGAACAATGTCACATGCTATGCTTGTAGGAAACTCTAGGAGCTTTCATGTAAGAGGCGTGTGAGGGCGCCTGCTCTTCCCTGGGTTCAATTACGATCTCAGTTTCCCCACGAGCATCTTCGGGTCATCATCTTCTATCAGTGGTCCCGCGGCACTGGAGCCACGGCAGCTGTCCGTAACATGAGCTGCATTGACGGAGGACAGCACTACCATCAGGACCATCCATCTTTGGTTCGCTCGCTTCCCAAAAGGAGACACGATCCTTCAAGACAAACCTCGGTTGGGACGGCCCCACGAAGTGAAAGGTTCTACCATTCTCGAAGCAGTCAAGGAGGATTCGGAGGCTACCAATCGCAGTCTTGCGACAAGACTCGGGTGTACCTAAATAACAGTTATCAACCGCCTGTAAGCCCTTGACTATCGAGCCTTAACGATGGCACGCTTTGCACCCGGGCACCCCTGGTCTCTCCCCTTCTCTGCCCCCGTCAGAAGGGGTTTCTAGGAGACAGCTTAGTGGAGATGAAAGATGAGTCCTCTATAGTTTCAACCCACACAGTACCTTGTGTCTCTCTTAAGGAGGAGGTCCACCCTAGCAGTCTAAACGGGCATGTATTTTGAGCAGCTTCTCCTGTGCTGCTTCTGGGACGCGCGGTGAATGCTGCAGAACGAGCTGCTCTGTAGGACACACGGTCAGCGCTAACATTAGCGCCGTTGAGCTCCTGAAACCGGTGGAAGTTGTTGAAGAAAAATGACCGAGACTAGCTTCGCCTAGCACGCGAGACCCCATGCTTACTGCGGAGAACTACCAAAAAATTGAGAAGCAAGGCTGAGAGACCAGTCCCCGCTCATCATGTTCTCTTGAGGTAGTCCCCTACGACTGCTACCTCCTGAGCCTCCTTAAAGGCAATTCCGCGTGGCGACGCGGAGGGACACTTCTTAGTGTAATACAGTTCAGAAAACAGAACTGCCCTGTGGTTTGTTGACTTATTGAAGGGAAAGGAACCACGAAAAAAGCGCCTGCAATAATACCTCTTTATTTCATTGATCATGATCACGCGGACGAGCGTAAGGTGGTCAGATCGACTGCGGATGGCAAAACGGCGGCGAGGACCTGATAACGCAGAACGAGAGAGCGCAGAAAAACGACGCAGCGAGAAGAGGCGGCAATGGCATCATCACAACCGACACGGCTCGCCACTTGAGGGCCGCATGGCCATCGGGCGCCAATGGCCTAAAGCTGAGCCGCGCCTCGTTTAGCTTGCTGTTTCTCAAACTTTTGTAAAGCAGCATAGCCTCTGACGTTGCTGCTTGACCGCGGGACAGCGGTTATGAGAAACCTAGCCTATTCGTGTTTATCGCGGAACGTGTCTTTAAGGCAGCGTTCCATAGTTCGCGAACAGCAGCGGCGATCGCCGCGATGCCGTGACCGCCAGCGATCGACCGGCGATCGGCGGCGATCGCCGGTGCATGGCAGCGCGCGCCCCAACACTATTACTTGCGCTCCGAAGGCTTCTGGGGTAAGCGGCTCAATTTTATGCTTTTTTCCTTTGAATGCAATTTCCTTAGGTACTGAAGCTGGTTCGACACAAGGGAAGGCGAGCCCATCTAATTCGCTTTTGTTTTCTATTTTCTTTCTTATTTAGGGTAGAAATGAGCAAAAAGCGCGAGAGCTTCACTTGAGGTACGTTTTTATTGCTTCTTTTTTTCACTCATCGAGGTTGTACATGGGGTTTATGAAGTTTTCACCTGTTCATGTCGCGTAAAATGATTAGTGCTTTGGTTCCTAGGAGAGTTTCTTTCTATTTCGTTTTTTTCTTCGTTGTTTGAACTCGACTTGTAAAGTATGAATGTTTTGGAAGTTGGAACAGCTTAGACGATAGGAATTCCTGAGGCGCACGCATAAATCACCCAGGAAATGGAGTTGGTCTTACCCCGACTTAAAAGGAAGTGAAACCTTCTTTCCTCATATTCCAGATCTGGTTATGTGTAGAAGGTCGTAGTTTGTCTGTTAGTGCCCTTATTAAGAGTAAAGAATGTCCTATAAGTTGAATTCCCTTATTCATCAGGCGAGCATTCACAATAGCGTTGGGGCGCGCGCTGCCATGCACCGACGATCGCCGGCGATCGCGGCGATCGCCGCTGCTGTCGCGAACTATGAACGCTGCCTAAGGCTTTCTTAGCCAAAAAAAGTTTCAGCAACTTTGACAACATCAGTCGAAAGGCCCCCGACTTACTCTACTGGCAGCCGGTCAGTTCCGGGAGAGGAGACATGCTAACCTGCTCATTAGGTGGAGCAGTGTAGTAGCTAACAGTAACGAGTATACTGTTGACTAGTTCCCACTGTATGTTGAGTTGGAAAATTAGAAGAAAAAAGTCACAACAGTGACAAGACTCTCTTTCCAACATATATTGTTGACTAGTTCATTGTGCACATCTATATTTTCGTACAGTGTTGTAAATATTGTTTATGAAATTTAAACAGGAAAACAAAAAAAATCGTGAGGTATGGGTCGACTGGATGTCTGCAAGGTCAGCGTTGTCGGTTTTGCTTTTCTCAAAATCAATTGGGAGCCGTCCTAATATCAATCTGTTACTCAATGCTCTACTCAAACCCTGGCGAATCTATTGACTGGTCCAGGGGCTCTGCTTCCGTGGAAAGCGATAGAGAGAAGAAGTTGGGGATGCTGATTCTTATCGACCTGACATTCCGTATTAGTAACCTAAAATTAACAGAAAATAAATAGCAATGGAAAACAGATTTCCATAGCAGTGTTACAGAGCACGGAATTTGCTATCAGAGCATACAAAACACATCAGCGAAACATTCAACTGCCAGCATAAAATTTCAAGTGGAACAGACGCGATGACTTGTGATCCCCCGTTATCTGCGTGGTGAAGGTTGCCAACTTCTAAACTCTTGAAATTAGTTCCGAAGCTTCCTATGAGAATTCCCTTGTTGGGACTTCTATATCATCCTATTGCAAATGTATGGAGCAGCTTAAGCGTTAGCACTTCGAATATGCGTGAATAGAGGCAGCTGTCGAAGGTACCAATTTTTGCCGGATCAACTTTCAACTTCAACAACTGAAAAACTTACAAAAACCATCCCCTCACCCAAAGCTGTTTTGATACTCTTATAGTACGGGAAGTTTCCTATCAGATGATATCAAACGTGCTCGCAAAACGTTTCATTTTTCGAACGAAATTTCCAGTTGGAAAAAAAACGCCATTACTCATGGGCCAGTACAATACTTTGGCCCCGGAATAAATACGATTAGTTGCAATGCCCTGAATGACCTTCAAACATCTTTAGTCGCAAATAACTTAAGCAAATAACGCAAATAACATATGTTTTGACCGTAACCGATAATTCCTCGTGTGCATAACTGGCTAGCTTAATTTGTGGGGACCCTCCCCTTGCTTCTTTTGAATTTCAGAATAGGGCTGGTAGGTGGTTTAGCACCACACAACACGTTCATACATTATCGACGAGCGCTTTTTTTTACTCTTTTCTTAATGCACACCTCGGATGATTTTTTTTATCAATGGAGCACCTCGAGTGCAACTTTGAATAAGTAAATACATATGAGTACATCCATTGAGAAGAGTGGACGTGAGAAAAAAACGCTAAAAAAAGGTAAAAACTCATCGTTGAATAGTGGGCGGAACCGTGACCGCGCTGGAAAGTGGGTGCGAATTTTGGGAACCGGCTTGCAGCAGTACCAAGTGCGGTCTAGCTCATCGACTGCCCGTTGTAAGGAGTTTGATTTGAGGCGTCCGATTTGATTTCGAAAACTGTCTTATTCGTTCTGTTCGGAAAGTATCCGATTTGGTTTGAGGCGTCCGGTTACATTTAAAAAGTGTTCCAATAAAAATGAAAATGATAACGGAGTCAGTGAGGGGATTTGTTTTTTTCTTTGTTTTTTTGCATAGAAGGTCCAGACTGTTTCAGACATTTCTCTATTTGGACAGAAGCTTCAGCTATACTTTGCATGCGGTGATGGACATTATGGTGTAAAATTCTTTTACCATTAATAGCCAAAACATGCTGCTTGTGAGGCATTGCTATTCCTGAAAACACTAGGAGAGTGACCCTAACATACCTGTTCCATGCATCTACCTACAGCAAACAATAAATTGTTCCGAGCAAGAAATCTGTTTCCTAACCCTTTTCAAAAAATTTGGAATCCCTGTGAAAAAAGAATGGGAGCGATGGAGGTCTGCTGCAAACATCTTATAAGGCATACTCTTCACAATTTTAGCAAAACTTACTCCATGTGAGGCACGACGACTTTGTTCACCCATGAAGTTTCGTCAAGAGCACTCGACGCCAACTCTATTGTTGTAGGAGATGATGCATTCATCACCTGTCTGTACAAAGTGCGACGTCGTAACAAATCTGGCACTATGAAGGACGAAGAGCAATCCCCAACGATATCGTCACAAAACCGTTTCGATCGCATTACTGAAAAATCTTAATGCACGGTTTTGATGTGGCAAAGAAGTGTGCAAGTAAAGTACAACCACCTACAACTGCTCTTTGCATGTATGAGGTTGAATGGCGTGATAACAGTAGCTAAACGAGGTGTTGGAAGAGCTCGTGGTGAGAGATAGGAAGAATCAGCAACAGTACGTGGACATCGTAAACGATAACGCTGCCACTTTCCAGCAGCAAATATAATAACAACGCTGAGCAAGAGTAGGGGGATCAGAATGAAATAAATGGGCACATTCGGTGCGACCATTTGGCAGGCAATAAATATGACCATGTCAGTGACACCAGCAAGAGTCACCCTCCGCGCAAACGAACGCATGCGCAGCCATGCTCCACGGGCGGTATGATGAGCATTCCGAACCATTCTCCTTGTTCGGAGCGACAGGTAAGATAGACGTTGACAAGGCACACATAGGACCTCCGACCATCGCTTACTTCCAATAATTTCTTCCTCGATATAATCTAATGCGTCCTAGAAACAGTTACACAAAGGAGCAAGAAAAAAATAGGTTAACTGAAAGAGTAACTTCACACTCACCTTCGCTGATCCTGGTCTTTGCCGTGTGCAAGGTGAATGGGTCCGCAGTTGCAGTAACATGTCACTTTCTCCGCTCAAAACTGCACACGAACGGGCTTGAAGGTGATGACACCATACTTCGTCCGCGCTGCCACACGGCCAGCCGCAGGCCTAACTACTGCCCAACCGCATTACTTGTCTGCTCCTCTCATCCTCTTGTGTTCTCTAACACTGAATACGTATTTCGCGGCGGGATACTGGGACTGACGCAAGTGTTGCACATTGAGGATAGCGTGGGCGAAGAATGGAGACAAAATCCAGCATGACTACCCTTCAGCCGTCTCCTCGTGCAATCTTATGCGGAGAAAGTGGCACGCTACTGCAGTTGCGTACCGATTCACCTCGCACATGGGAACGACCATTCCCGCAGGTGAGCGTACAGTTCGCCTTCGAGTTATATATACCATTTACTTTGAATCGGACACTTTTCAAACCAAATTGGACACTTTTCAAGCCAAATCGGACACTTTTAAAACCAAATCGGACACTTTTCATACCAAATCGACACTTTTCAAACCAAATCGGACACTTCAAATCGAATTAGACACACTCCTTACAATTAGGTGGTTAGAACTAGACCATACTAGCTACTGTTGCAAGCCCCGCCCCATTATTCTCGCCCACTTATCAGCGCGGACAGGGTTTTCGAGATGATTCATGAAATCTGCTCCCTCGACTTTTTTTCGTTTTTGCCCTTTGCACACACACTTCAACTGAAAAATATTGATACCTATACAGATCTGACTCCGCCCACTTAACAATGAAGTTACGTAAGTTCTGAATTTTTATAACTTTTTTTCGACATAGTTCTTTTCACATCCAATCTTCACAAAACGAATAATCATGCACAGCACGATTGGCTCCTCCCACCAACGGAAGCTTCGCCCACTTTGGGGGAGCCCCGCCCTTTTTTCGGAATTGAAGCAAATCGGCGAGCTAGTGTCAGTACTGGCGGATTACGGCCTCTCCCGTCGCTCAAAACAAAGCTGCTGTCGAGCTAGTGTCAGCACTGGCGGATTACGGCCTCTTCCCTTTTTTCCGCTTTCTCCCCTTTTTTTTATTCTATGTGCCGGGAGAGGCCGTAATCCGCCAGTGCTGACTCTAGCCCGCCGATCTGCATCATTTTCGAAAAGTGGACGGGGCTTCCCCAAAGTGGGCGGAGCTTCCATTGGTGGGCGGAGCCAATCGCTAAAGCCTAAAAAAGGGAAAATCGTAGAAAAACCAAAATTCGGGCTGAACACAAGTGGGCGAGGTCAGAGAGGCGTGGCCTGGTGTGCTGTGCATGTTTTTTCGTTTTGTGAAGATTGGATGTGAAAAGATTCACGTCGAAAAAAAGTTATAAAAATTCAGAAACTCACGTAACTTCGTTGTTGAGTAGGCGGAGTCAGATCTGTATAGGTATCAATCTTTTTCAGTTGAAGTGTGTGTGCAAAGGGCAAAAACGAAAAAAAGTCGAGGGAGCAGATTTCATGAAGCATCTTGGAAAATCCGTCCGCGCTGAGAAGTGGGCGGGGATATTGGGGCGGAGCTTGCAACAGTAGCTAGTGTGGTCTAGTTATCAGCCACCTAATTGTAAGGAGTGTGTCCGATTTGATTTGAAAAGTGACCGATTTGGTGTGAAAAGTGTCCGATTTGGTTTGAAAAGTGTCCGATTTGGTATGAAAAGCGTCCGATTTGATTCGAAAAGCGTCCGTTCTGGTTTGAAAAGTATCCGATTTGGTTTGAAGTGTCTGATTTGATTTGAAAAGTGTCTGATTTGGTTTGAAAAGTGTCCGATTTAAAGTGAAAATGATATAGAAAGAACTGAACTAGTTATCAAAATCTTACCTGTATGCTGTATAGCATCGGAACATTATGGGCATCTAATATTTTGTCAAGAAGTATGCAGGTCCTATTTCTGTCTGGTAAGTCGTATGGGTGAGCTTTTTGCTTCCATTCTGCTTTACCCAGGAACACAACAACTAATTTCGGCGATTTCCTAGCAGCGAAATAGGCTATCTCGAGAAAAGAAGTGGCATTAACAGTGGCGGGGTCTATGACAAACAGGAATAGAGAAGATCTCTGAACATGTGTCGGTCGTTCGTCATTTGCAACATTTGAGTCCAATAAAAACTAACCTCTTTCGCTATACTCTCTTCATAAATCATGTTTTCACTCCATACACTCCTTTGAGGATCATAGTACGAAATCGCCTTCTTCTTCAAAAATGGAATAACAAGCTGCCGGCGCCACACCTTGATCCGATAGGAATACCGTTGTCAAAGTTTCAATAACTCTTATACTGTGGCTAAATGCTTCATACCGTTGTTCCACACGATCCTCCTAGGAAGACATCGTACTCAGGGAGAAACGACAAGGGTGGTTCATCTGCTAACATTGCGCCTGCAGCGTAACCACATTCGTTGCGTATACTCCTGAAACGGGTTAATGTCAGAGAAAATTAGAAGACTCAGTGTCAGAGAGGATCGCTAAACCAATATTTTATGTGACCAGAGTCACCTTTTTCACTCTTCGGATGATACACTCTTCAATACTGCTCAATGAATACGCAGAATGATTGTTATTTGTTCAAAGGCAGTTCTCGCGATCAAATGATTAGCGAAATGCCTCCGTGCATCTAACATCTGTTCGCACTCGCGCGTGTACAATTTTCGCCTCTTGAAAAAGCGATATAAAGCGGCCACAGACGCGTGACAATCACGCTTTGAGCACTCTGGCTCACTATCCAGAGCAACTCGCGAGTTCGCGGAAGAATCGACAAGCTTATTCTTTGTGACAAGCATGTAAAATCGTCCTTCGACGCTGAATACAACAAAGTGCATTTACGTAATTTACCGTGTAAGTCGTTGACCTCCAGACTGAAAAGAACAGAGTGGCGAGAATCACGCGTCTGCGACCGCTTTACCTCGCTCTAAAGCAAAAATGTACACTATGCGAGTGCGGGTCTAGATTCTGAATGCATGGAGGCATTTCGCTGACCATTTGACCGCGGAAACTGTCTTGAACGTATCGCGACCTTCTCCGCTCTTCCAAGAGCGGGAGCAACAGGTCAGTCTGAGAAAACCATTTTGTAAAAGCCTATAGTTGAGGTGAAAGTCCTCCTAAAGGGCCTGAAAATTAGATCTGTAATCAAAAAATTCCAAAATACATGGAGCAGCAAGTAAGCACACTGGACTCAATGGCGCTCCTCACTTTTCTCAGCATCTGAAACAGCGTCTGCTTCATGAACACAGGATTATTAAGTTCGTGGATGTTTTCGTAAGAACAAAGTATTCAGATAAGCATGGACCCAAAGAATAGAAAATTGAAGAAAAGCAAAATTTTGTTCCCTGGGGATCCAAACCATCGACCTATTTTTGACGTTTTTTTAATTCCAGGAGCATGCAACGAAAACGAACCTCTTCTGGTCCTTGTATGTGCCCCTACAATATGCGAAAAACCGTTTTCAGAAAGCGCACAAGGCCCTGGACGACCTCCCTTGCAGGGCACACGCACCCCACACGACTTGTCAATGGGAGCAAACATCATGATAGGGGTACACCAAGGATAAGCCCTGAGCCCGCTCGTCTTCGTCTTAACTCTTGAGCAGGAAACTCATGTATATATAGGGGAGCCAAAAAAAAGACTTTTTTCTTTCTCGACTTTCTAGGCGCTATAAGTTACACTTTAGTGAATTCTTATCTGACATTTCTACCACCATATTGAAGACCATATTAAATACTAGCATTACGCCACAGCCTTAGGGCAGAACCTCTCGATGGAGGAGCGCCATCGAGAGGTTCTGCCACGCGACCGTCAGTGTGTGCGTGAGTTCCGCGAGATCGTTGATTTCTCCGCCACTGTAGACCACCCTATTGAACTCCGCCCGACCCAGTTATTGAATGAGTTCAGTTCAGGTGACCTGCTCAGATATTTCATCTTCTTCAGGTACTCAACGCCCTTCCATTCCAAGTAGGCAAGAGTTTTCCCAACGCCCTTTGATTCCATGTGGTGTCACAGTGTCACCCAATCCTGTAGCAGTACAAAGTTTCCAAGAAGGTACGGGCGACGACATGTGGAGAGGATATTCTTCTCGAGTTGCTCGATGTGACCGCCAGCGCTCACCTTTAGTCCGGGGCCCACGAGGAAAATATCGGTCTCTCCATTCCAGGTACGTCCGGTCCCCATCATCAACTAGCGCCTTGGCGACTGAGGTGGAGATGATGTCCTAGGCCGTAGCGACGTTGACGGAGCTGTTCGATGGTGGAGGTCTTTCAGATCAAGAGTACTGGTCTCCAGGTAGCTATCCATGGGTGATTCCATTCAAGAAGTTCCGCAGCTGTTCAGAGGCGAGCCCGTGAATTCCAAAGGCGTTCTCCACTCAGGCCGGCGACTGGAGATGACTTCATATTTTGTGCATGAAGGCGATGGGCGACAGCCAGCTCCTGCTTCTCGAGGAACATCTTGGATATCTACCAGTTAAAACTGTCCTCTACGCTGACACACTGCCGTGATAGCGGATAGTAGGGAAGTAGTAGGAAAGGTGCAGGGCGAAGTGCGAAGTTGGCTGGATGTCCTCGCTAAGAGTGGATCCTGACTTATATGAAGAAGAAGCCTGAAAGACCACCCAATAAGGAACGCGGTGGAGTTTGAAGTACACGGCAAGCGACCACGAGCAGCCCTGAAATAAAAGCTGAAAGGACGTCGTCATCATGAAGGACCTCACCCAGAGTACACGCGACACTTCGCTTGTTTATCCGTATTTTTTGGCTTCTCACTAACAACATATACAAATAATGATGCAAGCAATACAGAAATAGTATTAAGGAATTCATGTGTTTTTTGAAGTAAACGAGGCGGTGGTGTTTTTCACAACAAATCGTGCTTACCCATGGGGCATGGTTACGAGTTTGTTATTGACCCTTTTCCAGTCAACTTCAAAAAAGGAGAAGAAGCCTAATCCTTTTACCGAAGTTGAACAAAAACTTGTTCGAGGAAAAACTAATAAAAAAAGAAAAAATAACGAGAAAAGATATAGTTACGGTGATGTTCTGGTGAAATTTGTCCGCCGTGGATGAACGGGAGGACCGGTTGAGTGTCGTCTGCCACGAAGGCCCCGCTCCACACACGGATGTTTTTGGCGAATGACGTCGCGGAAATGTGTTGTGTACCATCATTCTTTTCGTATTTTCTTCATGCATCATTTTGCATGTGTGTCTACGCGACAACTTCTCCTAAATTTTCGTCAACTCCTCTATGCAGTCCTTATTTCGTAATTGTATAAGGCCATGGAGGAAGAAAACCATTGCCGTTTTGTTTTAGTTTTTTTTTCATCCATGTCTATTTCTTCTTCGAATTTATGGTTGAATTTACCGTTGACAGCAAAGGTGATGACAGTAAAAAAGGCAACAGTAATAAAAATCAACGACAAAATCTGTTACACCACTTATGAAAAGAATACCAGTGATACGTCGCAATTATCATGCAATCAGAAATTGAGCTAGTTGACGCAGAACTCTTTCCATTTCCTTCATCAAAACATGGTGACGTTATATCCGACCGCTAAACTAAGTTCGATTCAGTTTCATGGCAGATGTTCACAGAGTTGTTAAGAGGAGCAGCAAATGGCATTACCACTGACCAGTGGTAATGCGGCTCCGGCTCCGGCTTCGCCGGGCGATCCTCCTTCCGCGTGTGAAGTGGGTATTGCCCCAGTTTTTTTCAGTTGTAGCCAGTCGGGTCGCCCGGCATCGCCAGGCGATCCTCCTTCCGGAAAAAGCTACATCCGAAGGTGAGGCACTATTTCCCAAAATCGGAATGAACCTCGAGAATATGTGTCAAATAACGACGCAACTAACGAATCTATTTCACTTGATAGAATCCCAACAAGAAAAATCAATTTCCCAGGAGTTTCTTACAACGCGCAATCTGATGAATTTTCCGTGGATATAAGAATATGCAAGAAAGAAAATTTGACAAAACGTGACATAGACAGTCAGCTCAACTCTATTTATGACCTAATAGGTTTGGCCGCACCGCTGCTTATAAAGCTCAAGCATCTAATGAGGAAGATTTACGCATGTAATCTGGACTGGAAAGATGAGATACCAACAGACCTTGGCAGACAATGGGTCAAAGCATGTCATGATATCAATAACATCTCCGTAGGTATACCTCGCACCTCAGGACGGGTGCCCTCTGGCTATAGTCTGTGGACATTTTGCGACGCTAGCGAGATAGCGTTGGCGACTTGCGTCTATTTATGATCAGATAATACATCGACAAAACTAGCTCCAAAGAAGAACAAACAAGCTATCTCGAGACTCGAGCTACTAGCCTTACTTACGGGAACCAGACTAGCACCAGCATTACTAGCAGTATCTCGAATACTACAAAAGAAATCAACCTCAGACTCGAAGGTAGCACTTGCCTGGATCAAGACAGCAAGAAAACTACCGTTATTTGTTCCGAATCAAGAGGACCGAATCGCCAAGCTCGTAAACCAGTTGGAATTAAAGGATATTACAGTAAACTTTCACTACACACCAACCGCAGAAAATCCCGCTGATGCAGGAACGCGGGGGCTGTCAGCTACAAATATCTGTATACTCATAGCTGGATTAGAGTTCCAAAATGGCTTGCAGAGAGTCAGAGTCATTGGTCTTTGATATATATTAACGGTACGCCGAACGATATGTCGAAGAAGCTGAGTTTCCGAAGAAAGGAAGTCATTCCAGAACTAAGTGACACTGCAAGACATTTAATATATTCTCTTGCGCATCGTCCCGCGGAGGACTCGGTTGCGGTTGCCTATTGCTTCACCCTCATGCTCGTTCTATAGGTTCGTTCATGAACCTAGATCTAAAGTCGCCTACGAAGTGGTGGATTGTTTGGAATGGACCACTAGTTACGGTAGAAATCCACACGACGCTAGACAGCGTTACCAAAAGAAACCGATATACGTTGCAACCATACGTTGAACAAATAGCGGATGACCTAAAAATGACCGTAGTTTCCATACAAAGTCCTAAGTCACCTATGAACAGAAGATTTGAAATAAGCTCCAAGGACGCGGTCATGATACCTGAAAATTACAAAATTCCCGTTAAATGCGCAACAGAAAAAGCAGCCGTAACAACTACGCCAGTTGCACTTCTCATTTTGAGTGCATCTGTCACGACTCGCGATCAAAAGCACGCTGCCATTGTCTCACGGAATCGATATGATCAGGTTAATATTGATAATTACCCTGCTTATTTATACTCCAATAGCGCAGATCAATGCGAAGAATAAAGAAATAATCTTATCTTCCATAGATGCAGAATTTGTCCTAATACTGCGGCCTAGCGCCCAATTAGTGGTAACGAATATGTGATCCATCAGCCAAATCCAGATCGAAAAAACCTCCTGGCTGCTACGATTGCATAGAGGGTGCACAAATTCAAATTTCATGCAAAACCGAAAGGTCGTCTTGGATCACAATACAATGTGAGGAGCAAACATTCTCCATTGAATGTAAAGAATTCAAGCATCGTTGGTTCAGTGGTAGAATGCTCTCCTGCCACGCGGGCGGGCCCTTCGTCTTCCGGTCGATGCACCAAACTTTGTGGCGGATTTCTTCTGAACACAGCCACAGAAAATCCTTTAGGCTTCCTTTACAAAAGTGGTTCAATGGTTTTTCAATATTTATTAACAAGCCCTAAAAAACTGTACCGAAATAGCTAGAGAATGGGCACTTAGCGTGCCGACTGTCAATAGCACAAACAGCATAGTCGGCACGCTAAGTGCCCATTCTCCACCATTTCGGTACAACTTGGTTAGAGTTTGTTAATATATATTCAAAAACCACCGAACCACTTTTGTAAGGGAAGTCCAAATGATTTCCTATGGCTGGGTTCAGAAGAAATCTGCCACAAAGTCGCGCACTTCTCCAGTGGGATCGCCCGGCTTTGCCGGGCGATCCACCTTCCGCGTGTGAACTGGGTATTGCCGCCGAATCCTATTTCCGCGTGTGAAATGGATATCGTCCCAGAATCCTAGTTACGCCTGTGAAGTGGGTATCGCCCCAGGGTTTTACCAACGTCGAATGTCCGTCAAAAATACTTCTCAAAAACTCCCGAGCTTTAACGTTTCATTCGTTGTATATACCCCTCCCTAGAAGACAGTCGTCGAAATTTTCTATTAGGTATGCTCCTCAGTATTAAGGATTTGCAGAATCAAGTATGGCAGGGGGTCCTAACCGTTTGGTACACAGCTGCTTACGGGTGTCTATTTCTCGGTTCATCTACCTACTCGCATAGTTTCAGTCATACTCACCGTTTCCTGTGCTGCTCCGGATGCGTTTTGAGGAATTTTATCCTTGGCTTCGTCCGCTTCGGCAAACGCCCGGCCCATTGTGGGCGCAGCTTGGGTGACGTTATGTGTGCTCTGCGAATACTGGCCAATGTCACCTCTATTCCAGGCAAACAAGCACCCTTAAAGTGAATTCCCACGAAAGCCCAATTTCAGGCGGACACACAGACATACACGCACACACAACTTCTGGCTCATATATAGAGAAACACGTCAGCTGTCTTTCATCAACAAATGCACCATTTGAAGCATCCACAATCCACATGCTGGGGTGCACTCACAAGGGAAGACGATTGGTCGAAGTGGCCATTTGGGATGAGATGTATACCGACTGAAAGGTCTTCGGAAGGGGAAGACGAAACCGTTTATCATATCTGCTGCGGACTTCCGAACACAAAGTTACGGAGCCTTTCAAGAGGATACTCATATTCAATACGAAAAGCGGCGTAAGGCTACCTCGAGAGAAGGAGCGTGACCGGGTGGTTACGTCGTTGGCTCCACGAATGCATGACTGAGAGTTTTAATCGCTGATGCGTGTCTAATTTCGCATTTTCCCGAAATTGGTCTGGGTGCACTCGAAGGCATTGTTGCATCACTCTTGCACTATATTGTCGTGATCTAATGCTTCTGAATTAATAGAGAGAACAATTTTGGCCGTTGATTTATTCTTTTATTGTTCTGAGGAGCTTAATTTTCACAGGGATGCACTCCAACGAATGAATTTGATGAAAAAATGGCTTTATTCTACGAATGACATGACTGGACCCGAAACCACACGAATAGTGCGCGGAGATGAGTATGGAAAGGATTCCCCAGGACGTGGCGTTGACGCAGCAATTTTGCTGGAGATCATTTTGGGAAAAGCTTCATTAATGCTTTTGAGTGCACAGAGGTCGTTTTCCAAAAAAAAATGCAAAAGAGCTCACGCATCAAGGATTCACCATACACCCTTCAAACCTGCGACTTTACCACTCGGCCAGGCTGCTTCGATCGGGGTAGCCTTACGCCGCTTATTTGTACTGAATATGAGTATGCTTTTCTGAAAGGTTCCGTAACTTTGTTTTGGGAGGGCCGCAGCGGATATGGTAGACGGTCTTGCGAGGCGGTAATTCCCTTCCGAAGACCTGTCGGTCAGTATGCACCTCACTTGAAATGGTCACTTCGACTTACAATCCTCCCTTGTCAGAAGTAGGATGCATAACGGGTGATGAATGCATGGAGTGGTAGAAGGCATTGGCTGCGATGATGGTGAGCTGTGAGTGCCTCAACGGCTAATCTGGCGGGTCGCTGTGGCCAGTTTAGAGAAAAAAGGAGAAAGGGAAGGTTCTACTCGGATTCACAAGACCTGATGAGACTACTTTAATTCATTGAGGGGTATCGTGTGGTGCACACGAAAGTGTGCGTTAGTCGAACTGGTAGTAGGATGTTGTTTCATCAGTCAAGTTCGAGAATGTTTCCTCAGTGGTTAACACCGCGTGACAGATTTATCTAGCAGAATGAAAGTCCGAGCAGCCGTTTACAATGGAACACTTTTTTCAGAGCATCTGATATCCCCATGGCTCAAAATTAGCAGAACTTTTCTGAGACCTCTGCAATAGCTGAACTATCCATCCGCCCGTCGAAATTGAATTAAATACTTTCCACAAAAAAGGAAAGAAAGGTGACTCAAACTTAAGAAATCAACGAAAGTTCACTATAATGAACATGCCTCCCTATCCTGCAGAACCATCCTGGATTGATCATAAAGACGTCGATAGGGATACGAGAGCGACCAAGCAGAGCGGGTATGGGAAGATCGAAATGACCAGTTTATACCTTCACACAAAACTGTTCCCCAATGTTGAGCTTAGGTCGTCGAATCATATTGAAAAGGTAATGGCTTCACGAATACTGCCCATAAAATCGCAACCGGTTCTACAGAGGAACGATTTTGTTACAGCTAAAATCGTAATGTGGTGTCTTCATACTTTAGAACAGAAGAATTGTGAAATATATTACCAAATGTGTATAGCTCACACTGTTCTCTGGAAAGAAAACAAACCGTAGTTTCAGAGCAAGTTTGTTCAATAAACAGTGGAAAAGAATGAAACCCCCACTCACGCTTCCACGTATTCTGAAAGCATGTTCGAGCTCAGAGCAGAGTACAGCAAAGTGTGTGAAATGGCGGTTTCAGTACGACCTCCCTCAGCAAATAGGGTCCAGTAACAACCCTCTCCCTTCTTGCTCTAACTCCTGCATTTTCAGCCTAGAGCCCTCCCCTTTAACATTTCTCAGTAACTACTAAGAAATCGCGATTGTGTACTGTAGAAAACAACATCCCGAGTAAGGATCTGTCAGCTTCTCTGGACGGGTTTTCCGGACTTGCTCGTTTCATGCTAGCAAGAGCGATATCCTGTCGCCTCTGGCACACTGATCGTTTCTTCGCGTTATCCAGTGCTGACACTATTTATCAGTGAGAAACTAACCAAAAACAGGGGATAGAAACTTTTTGGGATAGAAGTTTCTCCCGAGTTTGGGGAGGGGGGGGGGACAGCTAGTAGCGGCGGCTTACTCAATTCAAGTTTCACTGAAGCAGATTTGTTAGAGGTAGCGCATCAAGGGGACTTGTTCGGGGGGGGGGGGGTATCAACTTTTCTAGGTGTTGGTCTTTTGGGAAATCAAATGACGTTCGTTACGTTAAAGTCGTCTCTATTGTTGCGCTTTCTACCTACTCGCAGTCTGAATCTTCCCCTATTTGTAAATTTTGGATGGGTTTAGATGAATTCGTGGAGAACTGCGAGCGAGCTTTCATGCTTCATACGAGAATAACTTCTCTTGAACGCAACCTTTTGCAAAAGAAACGTTATCCGAGAGCGCAATATTTCCCCTTTCTAATATGGGCCACATCGCTGCGGGTTTCTACTTCGATCGACAAAAACATTGCAAAACCAAATACATATTTGCGAAGTGCAATATTCTCTCCTCCTATGAAATACAAAATTCCTTATCAGCAAACTCAGAAGGATTTTGGATGGGTTTTTGACGGGCGTAATTCCGAGCTACTCAAAAGCTCGATCCCTTCTGTGCCGTTGTAAGAGTGCTTTTTCGGAGACCTTGCGAAACTTTCAGAACACATATTCCTCCTTGAGAGCAAAAATATAATGTGGACATCGATTCCGTCTGTGTGCGCCATGCATCACGCTCACACGCAGTGGTGGTGGAAAGGTGTATCCTTCAATGGTAAGTAAATCTGAGCTATGCAAACAAATGTTTTCATAGGGTTTGAGAAGTAGATAGCCTACCTGCGAGCCTGTTTGTGTCGTATTATTTAGTCATCTACGTTCTCACGAATCTACACCAACTATTAGTATTGTTGATCAATTATTCAAATATTTTTTCAATGTTCCACACATCCAGGTTCTCTAAAGCACCGATTCCGCTATTCAGGACCTTTTTGCCTTACACTAATCCCCCCCCACTCCTTTCCCAGCGACCAAGAACCTACCCCGGCTCAGACTCACAAGGGAAGGATACTAACCCGTCCTGGCCATTCAGAATGAGATGTATACTCTTAGAAGCGTCTTCGTACGCTGATATTAAATCTGGCTTCCAAATCTGCTAAACGATTCTGGGTGAGGAGTTACGGACCTTTTTTGCTACTGTGCTTAACCATTGCGGTGCGCCCCCTGCTTATGCTTCGCGCTTGTAAACCCTTCGTGACCCAACCGCCGTCGTTGCTCGGTGGCGCAGTAGGTAAGTGGATGGACTCATAGTCGTGCGATGGAGGTTCGAGTCCTTGATGCATTGTAGTTTTGCTTTTTCTTGAAACGTGCGCTCAACACTTGGGAAGTAGTTTTGCATACGTCCGACCACCAAGACAACTCCCTGCTCTTTATTGAGCCCCGCGAACGATTTTCGTGAAAAATTACACTTCTACTAACTCGTTCATGCAAGTGACCAAATACACATGCATATCTGCCTGAAGTACGTGACCTGCGAAATTTCACCATCATATAAAATGACAACGTGTGTGGGCAACGAAAGATTTCAACATGTTCGGTAGCTCTAATCATCCACGCACACATCAGCCAACACCTCTGCGACCGTGCCTACCATAACTAAAGTAATATTAGGCACTGTTGAACCACTCCTACCCCAGAAAGCTCAAAAAATTTTTCTCGCTGAAACGTTGTCTACAGATGCAATTCTACGCCCTAATCACGGTTTTAACCCTCGTTTCGAGCGCTGGCGTCATTTGGCGCCATTATGCACCAATTTGGCGCCCACCCCTTTTTTCTTCTACAGTTAATGAAATCTCGCATATGGGGGTTAATTGAGGTCCTGATTAAGAATATCTCACAGGTTTAGAGCG